AACTTTCAATAAAAATTAAGACATTCTAATACAAACTAACTAAAATTTAATCGCATATTATGATCATCAGAATACTTGCAAAATATAATTTGCAATTAACTATAAAGTAACTATATAGTTACTTGGTAGTAGTAATTTTCTTTTTATTAGCTACATGTTAGCAATACGCCTACTACTGCTAATTTTTTGATTTTAAAGTTATTATATAATTATTTTATTATTGTATTTTTACTATATATTAGCAATATGTCTATTATTTTGCAAATTTCAGTAAGGTAAGTAGTAAGTAACAAAATTTGTTTGCAGTAGCATGCTATAAAATTATAGTAATTCTAATGCAAGTTAGCTCATCTTATTTGAATAGTAAATAAATTCTAAAGCTGCTTGATATATAAGTATCAAGTTAGCTTTTGTCTCGAATTATCACAAAACCAATATATGATATTTCTGAGTATGTTCTGTCTAATGAGATGTTATGTAAGTATGAAGTAATCCTTACATAGATGAAGTAAAGAAAAAGTTAAAATAATTAGTTGAGTAATTAGTTAGTGTATAGATATATTAAGATATGTGGGAGAAATAGGTTTATTTCTTCTACGAACCCAATATTTGTTCTTGTTATATCAACTCTCTCTTCCTACCAAGTAAGTTTTTTTCAGAGTAGCCTGTTGAGATGACTCATATGAGGTGCAAGGGTTGATGTGATTGTTAAGCATATGGCCTGTCAAGACAATAGTTATATGAGGTGCTAGAGTTGATATTATTATTCTAAGCATATAGCCTGTTAGATAATAGTCATATGAGGTGCTAGGGTTGATGTAGTTGTTCTAAGCATTTGGCTTATTGGAATAATGGTCATATGATGTGCTAGAGTTGATGTGATTGTTCTAAGCAAATTTGGGTCAAAATCCTAAAAAATAGATTTCCAAAAGAACATAACACTAACAAAGTTAGCTGGAACTAGCCAATTTAGTTAGTATTATGTTTTTTTAATAATTTGTTGTTCAGTAATTTGATCTAAAAATGTTCTAAGCATATGGCCTATTGGGATAACAGTCATTTGTATGAATTTTAATGCATTCTATAGTTCTATAACTTGTTTGGATAACAGTTATTTGTACTAATTTCTATTGCAATTTATGATCTATTGGGATGACAGTCAAAAGAAAAAAGAAAAAAATATAAATGATACTCAAAAAGTTGTATAAGTTGCTCGATTAGCAGAAGAAAACACCCAAATGTATTTTCATAATAAGTTACCAGAATAAGAGGCAAAACAAATAACAGAATTTTTCAGTATAAATCATATCAATTAATTGTAATTTACAAAAGGATTTATTTTTGATTAATCCAATTGTAATTGTAAAGTAATTTCTTAAACAAAAATTCAATATGAATATGTAACATTTATAATCTTTGTTAGAATAAATTATACTTACTAAAAATTGGTTTGTATAAATGCACAATTAGACAAAATCAGGTGATTGTATAGGTCTGCAGAAATTTACAAATTTGATTAAAAACAATGCAAATAGCAATAAATACAAAATAACTCATTAAGCACTTACTATGGTTGCTAAAATAGAGAGTATTTTTCTGTAACAGAATTATTTATATATATCACAACAATTCCAATATGAACTAACTTATGTAATAGTAAGTGAGTTTTGCAATAAAATTTTTAAATAACTAATGATAATAGAAATCACAATTCTGATGCAGACTAACATATTTTAACTATATATTATAATTATTATAATAGTAAGTTTGTAACAAATTATTTGCATTAACTTATAATAGAAATCTAATACAAACCAACTAATTTTAATCACATATTAATAGTTACTGAAATAGTGAGTAATTCTATACAGTAACTCACAATAGGAATTATGACAATTTTAATGTAAACTAACTCAAGCTTAACTACATATTATATTTATTAGAAATATAACAATTTTAATGTAAACTAACTCAAGCTTAACTACATATTATATTTATTAGAATAATAAGTTTTATAACAAAATTTTGTTTACAAAACTCATGATAGAAAATATGATGATTCTATTGTAGACTTATCTTAATTAAAATAGCAATAAGTCCTGTAACAGAATTTTTTTAGTAATTTATGTTAATTTTAATACAACTTAATTCACCTTAACTAATAGTGTAATCACCAGAATAGTGAGTAAGTTCTGTAACAGAATTTTTAATTTATGATAAAATTGTAACAATTCCAATACAAACTAACTTACCTTAACACCAAAATAGCAAGTAGCTTCTGTAATAAAATTATTTACAGTATATTGTATGATAATTCCAATACAAATTAACCACATATTGAGTTTACTAGAATAGCAAGTTCTGCAAAAAAATTATTTACAGTAAATCAATAGAAAGAAATCATAGTAATTTTGTGCAATCTAACTCAAGCTTAACTAAAATTAAGGTTACTGAAATAGCAAATAAATTTTGTAATAGAATTTTATATACAATAACCCACAATAAAAGTTATAATAATTCTAAGGGCTCTGATATTTATTACATAATATTTTAGGGTGGGGGTTAAGCATATATTATATCAATTACATAATATTTTAGGGGGTGGAGGTTGAGCATGTATTATATCAATACCTTATGTTATACAAAAAAATTATATGATTTCTAAATTGGCCAATAATTTAGATCTTATATGGGGGAGGAGTAGCTCTTATAGTAAATGGATATTATGTAATAAATGTTAGTGTCCTAATGTAAACTCATTTAATCAGAATAGCAAGCGAGTTTTGTAACATAATTTTTTCAATGCTTATGAATAAATCATATTAATCTCAATGCAAACTAACATACCCTAAGCACTTTTCATAGTTACAAGAATAGTAAATAAGGTTTGCAACAAAATTATTTACAGTAATTGCGATAATTCCAATGCAACACATATATTATAATCATTAAAATAGCAAGTAAGTTTCATAAAGAAATTTTTTTACTGTAATTCACAATAAAAATAATAGTAATTTTAACTTAATACTGTAGTCACCAGAATAGCAAGTTAAATACTATACAAAATTATTGACAGCAATTCACAATAGAAAATTATAATAATTTTGATGCAAACTAACTCACCTTAACCACATATTGTGATTACTAAATAGCAAGTAAGTTCTGTAACAGAATTTTTTAGATAAAAATCATATTAATCCTAATGCAAATTATCTCAACTTATTAATATACTATGATCACTGAAACAGCAAGTTTTATACCAGAATTTTTTATAGCAACTAATGATAGAAATCATTCTAATGCAAATTATTTTAATCTTAACCACATATAGTAGTTCTGCATTGCACTATGATAAATAAAACAAAAATAAATAATATAATATAAAATATATTATAATGAGAGACAATATAAAATAATTAATTACAAGTAGAGTGAATTAAACAAAAAAATAAGATAAGGAGTTAGCTACTTAATTGTGATAAAAAAAATTAAATAAAATTTTATACATAACCAAGACTGTATTCAAAAAAGCTGAACTAATAACACAACAAAATATGTAAAGACAAAATAAACACCAATCAATTTCTTATTATTAATACAAAATTCTACTGTTTTGCTATAAATTATAACATGAAATTGATAAAAATTTGATAGTTGCACTAAAATTACACTATTATTAATATATAAAAGATTAATATAGAAATATAGCATACACTATTCTAACTTCTTTAAGTAACTCAAGCGCCTAGTAAACTATAAAGTTCTTTCTGATATCCTATGATCTATAGAGTTCTCAATGCCCAGAAAAATCTTTTTTACTTAAAAAAGGGTCATGTGGCCTTATTGAAAAACTTTTACTATAAAAAAAAGTCGTGTGGCCGGATCACTGATTACTACCTTATAGTATAAAAACCAAGTATATTATTTTGCATAGCTTTATAAACTGATATTTGTAGTAAATATAATTAAAATAACTATTATCTATACTACATATTATGTAAAAGCAAAAACTGACAATAACATAGTCAGATATACTACAATCATACAACTCGATATTAAATAAATACAACTATATAATCTTATTAAAAGCAAATACCTAAATATAAACACAATTGTATGTTATATAATATTATACTCTAAATACTTTCTTTCAGATAGACATACTAGTAACTGATATAATACATAAAAAATAATTCAAACTTCTTGACAATTTGACATTATATTCGCAATTTAATCATTCTTTACTAATCGATCCAATTATATTAAAAAACTCCCTTAGCATTACACTTATAACCTTGTTGTAAGGTAAAATTAATTGATTTTAATTGGCTCAAATCTGATTTTGTATAATAGTATAAATGTAATTTGGCCAATTATATTTAACCATGATCATGTGACCATTAGGCTATTAATATCTTAAATCCGATAACCTCTCCACCATGCGCATCGGTTTAGACAGGGTATATTGTATGTGGATTAATGATTAAAACATAAAATTTACATCAATATAATATGAACAAACTAACTACATATGAAGTAAAATTTTGTAAGCAATTTTTTTTGTTAAGAAACTCAGAGCAGTTTCATCAGTGAAATTTTGAGATATTCCACCTTTTTGAAAAAAATCATTTATTTGATATTTTGCCCTCCGCAAAACGAGCCAACACGTGTGCAACGTACACATAGATGTCATCTGAATGTGCAGTTCGTATGACGTTTATAACGTCACCCTTGCCGTAATGCGCGTGCCATTCCGTAAAACATGTTTGTGCGTGCCACACGACCTGTGTCATTTCGTGCACTTTTCTTACGGGGATAACCCAAAAATTTGGGATATAATTTAAAGCAAAATGAACTTTTTTTAAAAATATGAACATTTTTAGATGGAATTTATTTCCATTCGTAATAATTTATGAAAAAGACAACAATCATGCAAATAAGTTAAATATATACAATAAGTTACATTAATTATATTTAAAATTTTTCCAATAAAAAAACAATCAACCAAATACATTATTTCCCATTCCTAATTCAACAAAGTCATAAAAAATCATTGTAGAAGCTAATAAAATAGCAGCTATTCCACAAAAAGCAGCAATCCAAATTCCATATATGGGTTTTAATCCTGGAAAAGCAATAAATTTTGAATTATCAATTTCATCAGATTTCGTACTAGAAATTTCTTCAATGATTAATATAGGAGATGGTGAACGAGAATGACTAAAGTTAAAAGAATTAACTGATAAATGATCAATTATATCAGTTTTGTGCTTTTCATCACTAACTGATAAATTATCAATTATATCAGTTTTGTGCTTTTCATCACTAATGATATTTGTTGGTTGAGAAGTCTTCAAAGTTGGGCTATCACATAAAGCATTTTCATTAACTACAACTAAGTTAAAACTTCCTTCCACTTCAATTTTTGAGCTATTATGAGAATTAGCATTGTATATTTCTAGGCTAATTTTTGAACTACTTCGTGAACGACTACGAGATTTACTTGGTGAACGAGATCGTCTACGCCTTAAACTATCTGAGGTACGTATATTTGGAGTAAGATAGTCTTTATCATTGGAATCATTTTCATCAGATACTGATAGAGTTTTGGGTGAAATATCAGGTGTTGATGAGTAGATGACAATTGGAAATGATAAATTATTATTTTTATCTTCATGAGTTATGATTTTAACCGAAAGATCATCATCAGTTACTATAGTATTTTTTATTGAGAGTTGATCAGAATAAAATATATAAGAATAGGTTTTAAATACAAAGTAACCATGCAAATGATAAATTATTGCATACCAGGCTTATCATCTTTTATACTACCTTGTTTATGATTTAAATAATACAAATAAAATGGAAGGACGAAATTACTAATAGTCGAGAATATTAAACTTGACCAATTCATAAATGCGTTGAGCCAAACTCCAGTTTGAAATGGAAGAATAATAACCCAAGGCACAAAGCTTGACAATAAGATAGCATTTCCTAGAAACAACAAATTAAATATACATATATAAATATGTAAAAATACCAAAAAATTTTGAGAATTTTGAAAGGAAAAATAAAATACTAAGTAATCATACTTTTACTGAAATTATTATTATTCATCAAATTAAGGCGCACTACTATTGTAAATACTGGAATACTTGTCACTAAAGCGGCTACAGGGAATAAGTAGGTTGTTATAAGGCTAACCACAGTTCGTTGATTAGATTGATCAATAACCGCAACAATGTTTGACTTCGAATCCATCACATAAGCCATTCCTCCCAAGACTCCAAGTGAAACGTACATAATAGTGGATATAAGTATAGATATCCATATTACTTTTCTGATTGGAACATTCCGACCCTATAAATTTGAAAGTATTACTTAAAGCCAATAAGAATTATAAAATCATGAGAATATTTTACAAACTGTTTCATGAATCCAAGTCGGTACAGTGGTTATGAATGCGTAATTATATAAGACAGTCCCTATCACTTGACTTTGATCGTTCCCAACAAAAGGAACAAGATCACTAGAAAGACCATGAATAATGAAGGTGATAATCCAAATAATAATGATAAATAATAAGGTGATGAAGGAAGCTAATAGTAGAAAAATAAACCGGAATATATTATAATACATAACAAAATAAAATTGAAAATTACAGTTATATTTATACTAATTAATACCAATTTGCACTCCAATATTATCAACCAATTCCAATATTCCTAAAGGAATAACCATCACTAGAGAAATCTATACCATTTACTCATTAGTAAATCGATGTTAAAATTATGTAAATTTGATTTATGTAATTATAATATTTTTACCGCGTAACCAATGGTTATAAGCATATAGGCATTCCCAAAAGGACTTCCAACACTACTTTGCGATTCCACACAATAGAACCCGCTAGTAGGATAAATTCCAATACCACAAGTTTTCCCAAATAGAGAAATCGTCAAAGAATCCATGGTTTGAGCAGATATTACAATTGATGAAATAATCAAGGATTCAAATGTTATATAAAGAATAAATTGAACTATCCAACGTTGATAACCAGCATCGAGGAAAAGTGAGTAAATTCAATTTTGTTCTGATAAAATTTAATTTATGGTATTAGGAAACATTGAAAATTGCCTATAAAATTTAATAATTGAATATACCTGAAATTTATCGTTTCCACGTTGAGAACTTAAAGATTCGCACAGAAATAGGGTAGCAGCGCCACTCAATAAAGTTGCGATGATAAAGACAAGTAATGGTCTAAAAATAAAGATTAAAATTTGGAATACAAATGATCACGTGAAAAGAAATTGCGAGTTACGTACATAAACCATCCAGCATACTGAAAAAGTAATGGAACTGAAGATGGTAAAAGATGAACCAAACATCAGCATGCATAAAAATTCATATCGATATGTAGACATTCAAAAGATGCAAACTTTGAACAAGTCCCGGTCCTGTCATAGATGAAACCAGCAGCGAAATGCTTCCTAAAGTAGAAATGGTTCTAGGCGCCATATTTTTTTTCTGACATTCAAAGTAAGAAATAATAAAATTAGAATAATCTAGATAGCAAAGCTTAAATATTTAATAAATGATGTACTTTTTCGTAAACTAGAAGAAAAAATATTTACAAACATATTTTAGACAAAATTATTTTTCATTCAATTTTATATAGGCGGATCGTCTTTGTCTAACGATAATTGTAGATAATCTTTTGTACGCAGACGTACGTACATACGTGAATGTGCAGATGTAAGGTACAGTATAGAAAACTAAAAACAATACGCCAAGAAAAACTTTAAAATAGAGAAAACCGTGTTTAATGATAACTGTTTATGCGCGTATTGCAGAATTTTAAATCAATTGACAGCCTAATTGCCATAAGCAGTCTAAGACAGTAACTCTATCTTTTTGTTTACTATTTTTGGCACTGTCACTGATGAAATATTTTCTAATAATTATATCTGTTTTCATAATTTGGAGATGACTGAATGACCCGAATTGATAAGCTGCAGAGTCGGAATTATAAATGACCGGCTGTTCGAAATTTTTTTTCGGTAGTCCCTAAATTTATGAAAACAGCTGTAATAATACTATAAGTGGATGCAAAGTCCCTAAGTAGACTATCTCAAATATCCATAAAACTTATCTTTGCGTGATCTACATACCACAAGCTTTTATTTCGTTATAAGTTTCTTAATTCGAAAAGCATTGTACGCATGTGATACATATGTATTAATGAATAGGCTTGGCTCTGCAAAAAGGGGTAAATCAACAAAACAAAAGACCTTCGGAAAATCGATTTTTATGTTATAAATTTATAATAAATAATAAGAAAACACAAACTTTAAAGAGCTATACTGCAAATTTTATTAATATAACTGTTTTTGTTAAAGAAATTTTAATCTTATTTTAAATTAATTTGTGCAAAAAAAGCTAGTTTGAAAATTTTGTCGATTTACCCCTTTTTGCAGCACCTAGACCTAATATTTGGATGCATCTAAGCTAATAGAAATAATCTTTATTGAGAATAAACAGCAAATTGATGTATAAACCGAAATGAGATATGCTCCCAATAATACATAGAGCATCATTAGTTGAATTCGCGACGCGTGCATGCGAAGTTAAGTACCACAAAATGGCAGATTCTACGTTCCTACATGGGGCAAGGGCTGTGGTCACTAGTTTGCCTATAACGTGCATCTTATGCAATGAATATATTATTAGTGATAACCGTTACTGTTACATCAAAGTTTTAAATTAGGCAATTAATTCAATAGTGCTTATTTGGCCACATGTGCTCTCTCACATGGTGTTAGATCTGTGTGCTCGATTAGGTTTAGTAACTGACCTAACCGGAATATCTCTTGTTAGCCGTCTTTCCGATTGTTGATTTTCGTCAATTTGAAAAATGTCACGATACAAATATTTATTGTTTTCAGTCATGTAATAGAACTTAACTTTTCCAGTTAATGTTGATTAATGTTTTTAGGCGGAATCTATTTCCAAATGAAACCTAAGTCCTAAACATCGAGACCTTGGTGAAACCCCAAACCTCGATACCCTGGCAAATTCAAATGAAGATCACAAATTCATCTCGCTTCCGTGATCTCCAAGCTATTCAGTACTATACAATAACGATAAACTTTTTTCTTTTTTAAAAAATGATATTAAGCTATGAATTTGGCACATTCTGGCTTAGAGATCACAGGACCGATACTTTTATGGCATAGGTTAAGCTTCGTAAAAGAAGACACCACTGATAGAAAATTACCTATATTCTGTTAAAAACAAGTTATAATACAATACTAGGTTTCTAATTGCGCTTTAACGCATTTTATTTATTTCGGACACACTAAAAAATTTTAATGCACGTCACTCTGGTTATACCGATATTTGGATTTAACGACATTATAGTAAAATCTTACCATATCGGAATTTTTTCAAAATTTTAATATAAAATGTGGTATAACTCACTGTATCGACATTTTGAATTTTTTTTTTTTTTTTACTAATGTCAATATATCCAGAGTAATGTGTAATTTAGATGGTAGTATAAATTGGAATTAGAATAATAATAGATGTTAAAAGGAGACATATAATTTATACCTATTTTTAAAGGATCTCAAATTCATCATTATGTATACTATGTAACAATAAAATAATTTCCTTTATAAAGGAAACTATTAAGAAAATTAATTCCACTAAACTCTGAAGGAAGAAGATAATGCATTAATCCTAGAATTAACCAATACCAACAAAATAAATATCGAATCTTAAATAATAATTAAATAATTATATTTAATTTATTATTAATTTTTTTTTTAAAAAAAATGCATATTTACTTAAAAATGCAAAGCTTTTCTTTCTTTTTTTTTTTTATAAATACAACATGAATTCGATAAAAAATTTTGGGGGACTAGTACTAGAACTGTACTGTACGTTGTGAGCGGTCCGGCTTCCGATTATTACTTTTATTTATTTATTTATTTACTATTGTTATTATTATTTTTCTTTTTATCTTATATGTAATAAGAATTCAATTAGTTGCGTGTATATTTCAACCCAGCCCTAAGACAGAAATTACCTTATATGTAATGTACACATATTACATTTCGTTCAAATTTGTCAAATCGCTCGGTTCTGACAACTTGGTCTTTTATGATATTTCGTTCATATTTGTCAGATTAGGTATATTAGATTTATCTGACACTTCGTCAATAAGTTCTCTTGTAAAAAACCTGTATTGTACACAGATGAAAAAAGTATAAAAGCGATTGAGTTCTTAACTTCGAAATCCTAATAGTAGAAGTTGTTCTCTAAGAGATTTTTTTCCTTGTCAATAAGTTAATAGTAATAAAACCGTTATTCGTATCTTCTTGTCCCCGTGACCTTGTTAAAAATTCATATTATCAAATCTCATATTGAAAGTTAAAAAGAGAAAATATCCAAAACACCTTTTATAAAATACAATTGATAAGACTTTGATCGATCGGATAATCCACGTGACCCACGTGACAATCGTTAAGAATCTTAACGATTGTATCGAATGCTGAAATCCCATTGAGCCCAAAACTAGAGAAAGGAGCTATCTTTAGCTTCTACTTGAAGCACACAAACAGCTGGTAAAGGCCCTATATAAGGCGGGACACTTGAAGAACAGTTAACTCAGTGATCGACGATCACATGATAAACATATAATGACGTAATTTGTTTACCAGAATTAAAACAAACTGGCCTAATTCTAACCCTAACCTAGGCCGAACTAACCCTAACCTAACCCTAACCTAAGCCGAACACCTGTCATGTGATGTTGTGATGATCACTGAGTTAACTCTTCTTCAATCTACCCCATAAGGCTATGCTTATATTATTCTTCAGTCTCACCGTAACAAGACCCAAAAGATCTTGATACTCGGACCAAGTCTCTCCACGCCTCTTTCTGCCTTCCAAATCAAGGTTTAAGCCGTTTGTGTGATAGTTTAGTGCTGTAGGTTAGTTGTATTTAGCATAGACCCATCAGTAATATCTGTCTAAATGTACAATACATACGTACGTATGTGTAAGAAATCTAAAAACCGCAATTATACCTTATAATTACAAAATACAACATTGAAATCTTATCATTGAAATCAATAAAGTATACTATATGTGTAAATACTTTTATTAAAGTTAAGAAATATGAATTTTTAATATGTTACTTGATTATCTGCTTGGCGTAATCTTAACCTATAATCAATTACACATTAAAATTAAATTATCGACTTCATTAAGTAATTAATTTCACTTTTTATATTTTGTCTCTATAAGGTGTAATTGTGATTTTACAAGTACAAGAACAAATACGTACGTACTATATATAAAAAATAATTTCCTTTTTTGATAAAATGGGTAATGTGGCGGCTTACGAGGATACACCAAAATATTAATTGGCAAATTGAAATTCATGAATTTAAATTTAACCCAAACAAATTTAGAAATAACCAGAAATAACCCGAAAATAAAATTAAATGTTATTATCGTGTCGTTAGTAATAACATTTGCTGGTGGCTTTGGACGATTCGATTCGCCAAGTTTAAAAATGGTGTCCCAATATTTGCATGGCAGATCTAAGGCCACGCAAAGTTAATTTTTCGTTTTGCATAACCCGCCGACCCAATTTTTCAAAAAAACTTTTTTTTTTTTTTAAGTTCCAATTGCCCCAATTATTCCATTTTTGCTATTTAATTTTTTTCCGTAAATTTATCCGGTATCACCCGATAGTGAGCTTAACTTTCCGTAATAACCCGACGGACTGTTAAAAAAAAAACAAAATTTCCAAATTTTCTAATTCCATGTTATGCAAAACGAAAAATTAACTTGCGTGGCCTTAACTATGAGCATTAATCTATAATTTATAGTAAAAAAAATTTTTTTGAAAAAAAAAAAAAAAATCCGACCCGCCGACTGGAATTTCGGAAAACCATGTTATGCAAAACGAAAAATTAACTTTGTGTGGTCTAATAAATAAATATACGGATTAGTTTCAGTTTATTATTAGTAATGTTGCCCTTTATTATTCAAGAAAAAGATAAATTTTAATATTATTTATGGATAGCAGATAATTAATAACAGATAAGATAATCACCAAGAGCAACGATCATATAATTCTGATATAAATTTACTTTATGGTATGCTAATGGAGGTGGTTATATACCAGAATAACTTAGCTCATAATATTTATAAGGTTCTGATGTAATATTCAGCGACACAAAAATTGGATATGCAGTAACCAATGAGCTATTGTGTTAAATACCACAATGTTATGTTCGTAACCAATGAACTATTGTGTTATATACCACAATATACTAAAGGTTATGTTCGTAAACAACCGAAATATCACGAATGCCATGAGAGTTTAAAATTATATATATAATAAAACCACCATATCTCCTTCCATATTATCTATAGATAAAAGGATGAATCTTCTGAAGTTGATTAATGATCCCATCCATGTAAATTTTCCTTGCAATAAT